GGCACCTTCTGATTTTTATCTTTTCTCTAGGTGTTTATATGTGGAAAAAAGTTTTCTACTGACCATGAGAATCACAGTGCCGCATGCCGTGATACAATGGATCAAACTGGAGATTTTTTTTGACGAAGGTATCAGAAAACTCATCCCTCGGCTCACAAAGTGCATTGGGGTGTATAGTGTTTAATATACCTTTCTGAATATGTAAATTTATTATCGTTTCGATTTTTAAAAAATTATGTGCTCTTACTTTGTGAATATACTATTGTTCAATTACAGGAAAGGGTATTACAAGGTAAATTAAAAGGCTTTTCGTTTACAAAGTGTTATTGTATATTAACAAGAGCGTAAAAAGTTGCTAGTGTTGCTTTATGTTAGGGTGAAAAGTGATCTGGGATTTACTACATTAACGTATTAAGCTTTAAAAGCAATATTGCTGAGTCTAAATGTGTCCCCTTGAATATTTCTTGCTAAAAATTGCATAAATCACAGATAATACACGGCGATCTAGATAAACTAATAACAAAAAAATAAAGTTGAAGCAAATTTAATTCCTGTTTTCAGGTCTGAAAGGTCCGTAATATTTTAGACCAGTAAGTAAACACAAGTAGTGCTGTTTACTTCCGGTAATTTACCCGAACAAGTACTCAGATGGACTCGTAGAGCATGAAATGTTTCAATACTTCAAACGCAGCTTTAGTGCACTTCTAAATGCGATGAGGTGTTTCAATAGATAATATAAATCCCGCAGCGGGCTTCCAGAAAGAAAATAGAATGTGCTTTGCACCATTTCAGGGTAATAAACAGTCAGATATATTAGGAAACTTCACCGTGCTTCGTCGGCCACCGCTCCATTTTACAAAATGTATTGCGTTATAACTGACTACTAGTTTCGGTGTACGAAATAGGGGCTAAATGTTCTACATTAATCTAAATAGTTCCGACTTGCACTAATTTGGTTTTCATTTACGAATGATTGGAAAAAGTTTAACTGTAGAGTGCTATAGTTAATTTTTGGATGGTCTACTGTAAATATTATTACTTTCTTCCTTTATTTTTTCAAGAAAAGAAATCTAATACCTATGTTGCGAAAAAATAAGCATCCAATTATAGAGATAATTGAGGAATATACTAATAATATTTTTTTGACATTTATCGTCTGCTGCTATATGTCATAATTAGTATTGTTTGTAGTTCACCGAGTAGTTGATTCCCACAAAATCATCAGTTAATAGTAAGTTAATTTAGTATTTTTGACCAGCCGAGGACGATTTTGCGCCCGAGCGGAGCGAGGGCTGGCAATAGAGTCCGAGACTGGTAAATTATACTAAACTGATATAACATTTTATCTGCCCCCACAATTCTTTATGGTTCATGAAATAAAGATTAGTTTTTATTTTTTGACATTTCTTAATCAATTCATTTTGACATTATTTGAAATCTTGCAAAGTCACCTTGGTTGTTTGGATATTGTCGCTTCTAAGGCGTTTATAAACAAAGCTACATAAAAGTTGTAATTTTGCTGGTTTTGAATTATTATTTCTAAATGAGTGATTTTCAAATAGAAAGTGCAGCAAATGCTGTAATGCTTTTTATTGCCCAAGAAGTCGAAAATGCGCACACCGACGAGCATATAGAAATTTCAAAGAATGGTGCCAGACCAAAAATACTGGTGTTTCTGAAATGTCACTGTTGGTACATTTCATGGAGGAGTCAAGAACTTTAAAGTCGTCGGCGAATGTATAGAGTGAATACCCATTGATTAAGTCAACTATTTTCATAAAGGAGAACGTGGATATATCAAAACACCCCAAGCTGAGAGTATTTTTGAAGTGTACGAATGACGGCTATACACCTAGAAAGTCAAACGTTTTTGCAAGTGAACAAGTCTACGATTTTCTCATTCAGGCACCCGATAACACATATTTGCTAATGAAGGTAGTGATGTTCTTAGCCATTGCAGAAGCATGCCGTTCTGATGAGTTATGCAAACTTTCTTTGAACGTCAATTTCAAAAATTTCGATGACATTATTGTTGTTACAATTCCAGATTCTAAAAATGGCATGTCACGTACTTTTACAATTACTTCTCGTCTGGGTTCTGTTTCTCACCTAGAAATTCTCAAGAAATATATCAAGATTAGATTGGAAATTAAAACTGAAATTTCACGCTTTTTTATGCGCTATCAAGCAGGTAGATGTTACAACCAACCAGTCGGCAAGAATACCCTTTCCATGATTTCTAATAAAATTGCACAGTTTTTGAAACTAGAACATCCTGAAACATATACAGGCCATTCATTCCGAAGAACATCGGTAACGTTACTGACTAATCCAGGAGTTGATGTATTAGCAATCAAGAGACATGGTGGGTGGAAATCAGCCGCAATTGTAGAAAGTTATGTTGCTGACAGTTTAAGTAACAAAAATGAAATAGCCAACAGGATTGTTTACAATGACACTTCAACTCGGTTCTAGTAGTACGTCGCATTATGCTGTTTTAATGGATCAGTCAGATAATATTGAGCCTCCGGCGGCGGCGACTGAATTGGAGCGGTGAAATCTCTTTGAGAAAAATGTGATAATTAGTAAACGCGAGGGGAATAATTATCCAGATTTTATGTGTTACTAAATGTAATAACTGTACAGTTATTATAAATATTCATTCATAATAATTAATAAAATGTTCATCAAATATTTCCATTTATTTGTTCAAAAAATATGTATTTATAACTCGAAATCGCTTTTCTCCCTAGGGAGGCAAGTTACCTCACTTACATCCATGGCAACTTGCACTTCTACGGTAAAATCCGCTTACCTCCTCAAATCAATGTATTAATATAGTCTATTTACTATAGTGGCAGCAGATAAAACAGTTTGTTTTGAATTTGGTAAGAACGTTTTCTTACAATTTCAGTCACATAAGATTTCATAATCTAAGTACATATTTCTCATATTAATGGAAAATGTTGAGACAGTTTGCCATAAGCCCAATAGAAAAAGGTATTACTAATTTATAAGCAAATATGTCCAAACATGAAAGAAAATATATCACTAAAGACATGCTTGAAGTAGTCATTTTTAAAGACAGATTTAAGAAATTTACAATAAAACTTCACTTAATAATGTATCAATTTCAGTCCACATCCGATTTAGTAAAATTTTCCTCTATTAGTATGAGCACAACTAAAATTGTTTGAGTGAAATTAACAGTTTTAGTTATCAAAAATGTGTAAAATTATCAAAATGCCTAAGATGTATTCAATAATTTCACTCAATGGCAACGTACCCTTTTGTTTTCACTAAGGCCGATTTATTTACAGTATAGGTCTCATAACTTAGAGAAGTCATAATTCTTTAACAAAATCAAAGCTGAAACAGGTAGCTTAGACTACATACATTCCCTGTCAAGTCCATATTTATTACACTATCGAAAGAGAAGTATTTACATTCGAATTTGAGGTATGAAGCACATAAGATAAGAGTATAAAAATCGAAGAAAAAGAAAAGAATACATAAATCTAAGAACGGAAAGATGAGTATAAATAAATAGAAAATATGGAAAGCTTATACAAGCTAATGTTGGTGTTATCTTTAATCATAAATCAGTTTTAGATCAATGGGCTAAATTTTTTCAGTATGCAGTTTAATGGGGCCCATACAAATGAAGTCAATATCGAAAAATACCTGGTATACGGTATACCAAACATGAAAATTAACGATGTCGAAATACCCACAAAAGAAGAAGTTGCACATGTCCGCTTCCAAAATTAAAGCAACAAATCTCCAGAAATTGATGAACTGTAACAAATTCCATAAAAATGAGGTGAATAACTTTTTTGCAGAGTTGCATAAACTTATTGTTTTAATCTAGTAGAAGAAAGCCATGGTGAACAGCTTCAAAATGTTATAAATCTACTTTATAAGAAAAGATTGGTTATCACAAAGTGTTTTATGGTTGCTCAAATTATCTCCATCGGAGAGTCTAGATAATATGGAGAAAGTCTAATATGGTGGTCTTTGTCATTGAGGAGCTTGTCAGTAACCTAATTTTAAAAGCGATATAATTTGGTCATAACCATATTTTTAATAAGAACATTTCATCGGGTTAACCACTCCTTCAGCACTTCCTTTATTGACCTTATATAGTTTTTTTCCAAACATCACCCTATTGGATATCCGCATTGCTCTTGTTTACCTCTTGTTTAATCTCATTGTGAACGAGGAAAAAAACAAATATGTATGTATATTGGTTCCCATAAATCTTTGTCCACGCATGGTCTACAAAGAGTTGCTAAATAATTAGGAAGGTAATACTGGGTACTCCTGAAAGTAGAAGCAGAAGTCGACCATATGCCATTTGGATCAATAGAGTAGGGGAAGATTTAATGTCAAAATTTCTTTCTCATATTGATATTTATTTATTCAAAACGAATGTTGGCATTTCTTAAATCGTATGTAGATTGTAGTAGAAAATAATTTCAAATAACCTTTACCTACATGAGTTTAACAAAGATACAGTAGCGGTTCTCTGTAAAAATCCAACTGTTACAAATGTTTACACAAAATGTACACTTCTTCGGTATAAATGTTTATACTTCGCAGAAAAAAAAGTTTCCGCTAAATTTCAAGGAAGTTTCATTTATTTATTTTTAATTTACCTCATAGAAAAAGGGCTCATGATATTAAAATGAGCCGAGCTCTCAGTATTGGGATAAATTATTATGTAAATCTAAATCTATCTTCCCACAAGTCGGATTACTAAGTTTTAAGTAAACGATTTTCTCGTCCGCTATTCAAAGTGTATAAAGTCAATACAAAACACTTCCCCAACAGCAATTAAAGCCAAACTAAAATATAATAATGAAATTAATCGGGACTTAGTCAATGTTTACACTAAATAAAGTGCTTGCAGAATTCAGCTGGATGTATAGCGGTGGTGCAATACCCTATTTACAACCCCATAAATCTGTTACAGCATTATACTATAAGATTCCACTTACATTTAACATCGACCTGCACTCTAATGGGCTGTGAATCTCCGGCTTTGTTGCGAGCGTGGCACGTGTACAGTCCAGAGTGCTGCCTGATGGCCGGACTGAATTGTAAGAGTTCCTGCAGGCTCGCGGGCTGATTCTGGCCTTCCCGCCGCCAAAGAACCGAGGCTTTTGGATTGGCGCTCACGACACACCTTATTGCTATAGAGTCCTTGAGGTCCTCGATGTCCGTTGTTGGTATTCCTACCAATCTGGTTTCTGGTACGTCTGAAAGAAGCACGTGCAAATAAATAAACAGATACCAATAGTTTATAGTTTTTTTACAAATTGACTTTACATTAGAACAAAATCTGGGGCATTCCATGCCAAATCAGCGAGGTCGTGACCGGACCATTTTTAATTTTTCTGACTTTTTGGTATTATTTAGTATCCGTTTAGAGTAGCTTTCAGGAATTTCTTCCCAAATTAAACAAAATGAAAAAAAAAGTTTATGATATATTTAGTTTTTGCCAAGATACACGCATATGAAAATTTTTTACCCAAAATATTCAAACACTTATATCTTTGTGGGGTTGGATTAAAAATTTGATGACAATCATGAAATCTACTCTAAATGGATACTAAAAAATACAAAAAAAAAACAGGAAAATTAAAAATGGTCCGCACAGTGGGATTTTTTGGTATATTTATGGACAAAATTCTTGTTATAAAAGAATTTTCATCCAATAGTGGCTTAAACACTCGTAAACATCTGTACTTTAAGCAGGAATTGCGGAAATTTCGATATTCTTATGCCCTAAATCATAGCAAGTTAATTTATTCTTTTGTAACAAGAATTTTGTCCATAAATATACCAAAAAATCCCACTTTGGGCCGGTCCGATTTGGCATGAAATGCCCCATGTTTATTTGTTCATCATTACGTTATTATAAATATAACCCATTGGGATATAAAATAATACATAATTACATGTGATGATATTTGGTAAATGGAGATTTATCAAATCTAACAAAGCAGACAATCCACTAATTTATTAATTAAATTATTATAGAGCATGATTTGTGAATGCATGGAAACTCGATAGTATGGGCCTACTGTGAGGATACAAAAAATTTAATCAAAATTTGGGACACATGGTGTTGAATGGAATGAGGTAAGCTCCATTTTGAATCTAAAATATTATCTTTGAGATTTGACAGAAACGACTAGTGGCGTCATCAATTATATTTTGTCCAGAAACATACCCAATTTTTTTTCCTGTATTACTTCCCGCTTAATTTTTCTCTATTATTTCCTGTTTAAAAGTTATAAGCAATATCGTCCTAAAAAGTCTCAAAAGAAATACCACCTAAAAATCACACTAACGGTGGATCAAGTAGTCGTTGGAACATAATTGAATGTTCGTTGTATAAAGTGCATAAATGTCATTAAGAATAAATAAAATGATTAAACTCGATAATTTTTTAATATCTACAGTATCATTACAAGCGTTCGTGATTTTTTTCCAATGATTAATATTTATATTATAGAATCTAATTATTTATCTATATAAATAATCCTAGAATTTATAGCTGTTGCAAGGGATTGTAACAAAAATCGGGACGCGTAGTAATTTATTTGTTAGTTCTCGGAACGGATGGGCCAAAAAGTAAAATATTTCAGTCAACACTAATGATCGAAAGTTTAGGGCTCTCAAGTAGGTTTAGCGCCGTCCTTCGGAGAAATTTAGCAATATTTTTCAACAAGTCCACTTAGACTGTCGGGGCCATGTGTTGAGCAGGTATAAAGAGAAAAATCGATATTTCAAATAACGCGCGAAATGCATTCCAAAGAACGTAGGAATTCCAAGAATAAGTTGTTAGAATGTTGTGAGGAAAAGAAAGTAATAGATCAAATTGCTGGTTTTTAGGCGGATTTTCCAAGCTATAAGGATAGAGTAAATGATATTGACTAATCCGTCCCGTATTGCTACAAGCAGTTACTAGAGGACGGCTAGGGTTACTTGTAACTTCAGTTAGTCACAGAATTATTTATATAAATGTAAGTCCATTCAATTAGATAATTATTAACATGGCATAGTTATGCCAAAGCGTCCCGATATTCCGGGTTCCCGCTTAATAAGATAAGAACAGAAACTTCTGGACCCAAGAAATGGGCGTGTCGAAGCGAGGTGTCGAATTCAGGAGATTTCCCCGAAAGCAGGCACTTTTTCCTTAGGTTACACATCGTTAGTTTTAGAGTCTCGGGTTAATTTAATAATGGATAAAGTCATTCCAAATTTTACTATGGGTCGCGCATTCCCTGAATCTCGGTACGTTGTCGCGTGTCAATAAATTAATTAATAATGTTGTTCGATCCCGTTGTGTCGTTATTTTGTTTGTTTGTTTCTTCTGTTTTTATTGTTATTAAACCCTTCCTGGCAGTTTTGGTGTTTCCTTTTGTTTCTCTCAACTTCAGTGTCACCCTGTATAGCCAGCCACTGGATTATATTCTACGTAAGCAATAGAGGGTAAGTGCCTGAAATTCATTCTCTGAACATTTCTAAGTTCCCACGTATTAATTAAAGTATTATGATAATTATAAACTCCCTTTCGAGAATTGAATAGTGAACTCTTTTGAAATCCAGTGATACTGGTCATAACGATATATAGATAAATAAATAAATAATCCCTCAGGTTACAGGATAAACTTATACGATTTCCAAATGTTTTAAACTTTGAAAAGAATATATATCATTATATTTTATGTATCTTGTGGAAAAAAACAGTCGAAATTGGCCGGCCCTATACAACGCCCTGTACCGGATACAAAACGGGTGAACATAAATAGTAAACGCGCTTTGAATTACGATTATCGCGGGTGCTATTAGAAATAAAAAATGAAGTTAATTTAATCGTAATATACTTGTAATTCAAGTTCAAAATTACTTCGTAAGGCGTTTCATGGGAACTTAAAAACCAGTTAAGAAGTTACAAATTGAGATTATTATTCATTGTGTTCAAAGTTAACTTAATGCAGTGGACTCGGATATTTCCATGTAAATGTAAATAAAGCACAGGAAAAGTTTAGCTTAAAATCCCTACGGTTCAAGTAGCAATGTGAAGTACACAGAAGAATAATATTACTTCTGCTGAAGAAGTTTATCTCTTTACAACTTTTTAATTTTTTTGCGGCGTTTACAGAATTTTAAAATTTTTTATTAAACAGACTAAGCCTGTTTAAATTACTTTTGCCAAATCCAGGAAATAGTCTCTCTAGGGTATTTAAAGATGTTACGTACTCAATATACGTGGTGTTTAAAGTTTGACTGCCTTAATTTTAACAGACGATAGAATACATTAAAATAAACAAAAAAAATTTAATTCGATAAAATTCATATCGAGCAATGTGACAACGGCGCGGCAGATAACACGAGGTACTAAGCAACCAGCAGTACGCAATTCAGTTGGTATCTGGAACTCGACCGTGTGGGAGTGTTTTTTTGCGTACCACTATTTCCTTTTCTTGAGGTGTTTTCCAGAGATTGCGCGAAAATTGGATTCGAAGGTGTCGTCCGTGTATCGAAAATGGTGATGGACATTTTGAGCATATATTGTAGTTTGTTTTGTACTTGTACGTTTGAAAATTACTAAATTTTGTTTTCTAGTAAGTATCTAAATTATTTTTAATACGTATGATTATTTAGACGACCTAAATCTTTGGGTACTTTAATTACATATTTTTCAAATTCATAATTTCATTATAAGTTAAGTTCCTGTTTTGAGATAGTCATAATTACTAAAATTCAAGCTAAAATTTAAGCACAACACTATCTTCGTGTTACAAAATCCATACATTCTATTTTATTTATTTAAAAACTGGAAAACAATTGTCTTGAAACTTACTAAACGTTTCACAATAATAGTTGTTTACATTTTTGTTATTCCGTAGGACAAGTCTGCCGCACGTGGTGTGCATCAGCTGTGTAACATTAGTATAACCGCTGTTGTCACGTTGTGATGAAACTCCCTAATAGTAATACTCGTTGTATTTTGAAAACTGCTAATTTTACGCCCCTGTAATTAATATACAACTTTTTTGTTCATTTATGATTACTTTATCTCATGCCGAAGTAATGGCAGTCAAACTTCTTACACCCTGTAGTATTCTGATATAAGCCGGCGATTATTTATCAATATTTAAATTGAAATGAATTCTTCTTCATGAACATGAGTCATCATGAACAATTCCTACATACGCTTTGCGATTAGAGTGAGATATTTGCGATAGCCTTTTACTGGCTCTAGAAAGAGAGGTCAATCGCGCTAATGTGTGCAAGGCAGATGAAGCTAGTTGAGGCAAATACCGGTACAAAATGCCGTAAACAAACTTTGAAGTAAATGTCATGTATTGACATTATTGATTGATTTCTTTAATTTTTGTGCGATTTAGTTATTGTAGTGAAATATTTGTAAAAATTAAATATGGTGTAATCGTGTTCTGCGATAAATTGCGTAAAGAGACGTTTTAAGTGGAGAAAAAATTAAATTTCATAGGTAGGAAAGAAGTTATGATGATACCAACATGTTTATACTTTTCGCATCTTTCTGAAAATAACGACCAAGTACAGTTGTCTCTAATGATAACTTATTAGATTATGTTATTTCCCCCATCCTCAAAATAAAATGTCATTTTAACGTCAAAATTTTGCCGCATTAAATGTGTTACTCTTCAAATTATTTTTTAACATCAAACCGAATATAAAGAAAAAGTTTTAACTGAAATTTACTTATAATGTGCTCGAACAAAAATTCTCTTCAAATAATATGTTGAACGAAGAAAGCATCGACAGTTTCAATTTATACAGTTCTGCAAAGCAAGAAAATATGAAATATTTGAAACAACTACGTCAGACGAGCTTGTAGTAATTTTAACCGATCGAGTTTACGATATGAGGAAAATAAATGGAGAAATACATAAATAAGGCATTATAAAAACTATTTGGAATATTATAACTAAAACAATTCAAATATTGTACTGTAATTAGGATAGTAATATAATAAACCCTTTTAATACGTACACTAATAGAAAAAATAAATTGTTTGTCTTTTAGTCTCTATATTAATTTTATAGTCTGAATACGGCCCAACAGAAAAAAGAGGTAAGGAATCGATAGCTGATTGGTTGAATTAAATGTAGCGCGCTGCAATCGAAATTCTGTGAACGAAGCTTAAGCTATTACTACCTCCATCTCTCTCGCACACGTCCGAGCGATTGCCGTTTATATA